CATGACTGTGGGACCCATCCTGACCCCAGTATGCTGAAACTGAGGCAGTGGAACCGAGAGTAGATACCTTCTCGAGACTGGCAGTAGCACAGCAAGATAAAGCGGCCATGATCCATTAATCCCTTTGTGCGCTGTAAACTTCAGTGGCCCCTTCTGGTTTTAAACACATTCACACATCTCTGAAGAAGCGACTCTCTTCTGTCAAAACCTCCTTGTGGAAAGTGCTTTTCTGCACTCTCTCAACCAGAAACTTGGATATCTGCATGTAGGTTAGGGAGGTGATCTCGGACTCAAAAAAGTTTATACCACAATAAATGTGTTAGTTTTCAAGGTGCTGCAAGAAGATTCTTTGTTATTGTGGTGATCCCAGTAAGGGGCTTTGGAGACTAAACACTAGGAAGAATTTTCTAACAGTTAAGAGCTGGCTTCCTTGGAACATGGTGGGCTCTCCTTCTTTGGAGGTTTTTAAGTAGAGGCTGGATGGCCATATGACAGCAATGCTGATTTTGTGAACTTAGGCAAATCACAAGAGGGAGGAATGAGTCAGTGCTCAGCTTTTGTGGCCCTTTCTTACATACCCAGGGTAATGCTGATTGGATTGCCACTTTGGGGCCAGGAAGGAATTTTTCTCCAGGCAAGATTGGCTGGGGATCCTGGAGATGTTTTGCTTTCATCTGGGCATAGAACAGGAGTGGGGAGGTAACAGTGAATTTCCTGTGTAGTGTAGGGGGGTGGACTAAATTACTCTTGATGTCCATTCCAGCTCTGTTTCTAAGGCAGTCACCAACCCTGGTTAGTTTCCTGAGATCTGATAATATACCATGCCATCTTCTCTCCACCAGGCCAAAAGAGACCTCTGGAATCAGGGTTCTCCCTGTTATCTTCCTTCCGTATTTACTTTTTGGTTTTGATAAAGCAGGTCTGTCTTTCCTCTTTTTAAGGCCTTCTCAGTACTGACGGTAGCAATGATTTCCACAGGTTATGTACTGCACCACCCACTCCGCCCGGAAAACTTCTATCAAACCCCGTCTGAAAATCCAAGAGCGCTCTGACCTGATAGGCTCTGGTGCGCCCTGGGCGCAAGGCTTGGAGAGGGGCGCACGGGCTAGCCGAAAGTAGCCTTTCCCGGGCCAAGCGCGCACGCAGCTCCTTACGTGGGGTGCGCGGCGGTAGGGGGGCTATTGTGACACGCCGCGGGAGGCCAAGGCAGAGGAGTCCAGTGCCGTCCGCGGGCGCGGCGGCGGCGGCGGCGGGGGGCCGGCCGAGCCCGATGCGGTGGTGCAGCGCACGCAGGTGGTGCTGCTGGCCGGCGAGTCGTGGGAACCAAACAGCGCCCAGGCCGTGCTCAGCTCCTTTGCGCACCACGTGCTGCCCCCTACCACCAGCCCTGGCTGCGCAGCGGACCGGCGCGCCGTCGTGCCCACCACCGGCGAGCCCAGTCTGCCCCGGCCGCCGTCTGCCGCGCCCTCTCCGCCGGGCCAGGCCAGCGGGCAGCTCATCTTCTTCCTCTGCCGGCCGTCGTCGCTGCGGGAGCGGCTGTCGCGGCTGCGGGAGGTGCTGCAGGGCGTGCGGGAGCAGAGTCGCGGCGCCCCGGCCGCCCTGGTCGGTGTGATCGTGCAGCCGCGGGAGGACGAGGAGGCGGAGGCCCGTCAGCGCCTCGAGGATCTGCTCCGTGAGGTCTTTGAGGCCGAAGGCGCCCTGCCCGTTGAGGTGCACACGGCCATTTTCAAGCCCGGCCGCCCACAGGGCGCCCTCGAGGTCAAGCGCGTCGCCGGCGGTGTGCCGAGACCCCGGAGCTCGGGTGAGGCGTGGCCCGGACGAAGCTACGGCGATTGGCTTGGGTGGGCCTGAGAGCCTGACTCGTCTGAGCTGAAAGCGCTGCGTCGGTTGGGGCTGGGGACTGGTTACTGGTTAGCGAGGGAGGGGAACGTGCACTGCGCAGGCTCCCGTTCACTTTTGGGGACCCCTTTGAAGAGGTTCTTGTTGGCGCCTTTGCAAGGCCCTGGCGAAGTTAAAACGGGTTTCTCGGCTAAGCAGCACCAACCGTAGGGTTGCCACCTCCGGCATGGGAAATTCATGGAGATCTGTGGGGATGGAGCCTTGGGGAGGGACCTCAGCAGGGTACAGTGCCATAGAGTCCACCTTCCGAAGCAGCCATTTTCTCCAGGGGACCTGATCGCCCTAGCCTGGGAACCAGTTGCAATTCCGGGAGATCTCCAGGACCCACTTGGAGGATGGCAGCAGCCCTAGCTGACCACGGCTTCCCCCTGCAAACTGACAGCACCGCGGGAGGAGGCAATGGATGAACTGACGTCAGTTATCATTACTGCTGAAGATTCTGAGCCACGTGGCCACTGAGGCTGCTGGGGCCTGGCACTGTTTCCTTCTGGCCGCCAGTGGCCCCCATAGGGTAGTGGCTTCACCAGGAAATTTCCTAGTAAGTTAGATGGCTGGTCTGCCCCTGAGTTCAAGCCTGCTGCATACCCAACTGAAACATGTTTTTCCTGACGCAGATGTTCCCAGGACTGCAGCTGAGGTCATCCTAAGGAATGGGGGAGGGCTTTGTGGATGTGCAGCCCCCACAACTCCAGCCCTGTCCTGTGCCGTGCACGTCCCACACCTTTCTTTTTAAACGTTCCCTTTTTCAATTTGAACATCATTTTACTACTCGGCATCCTTCATCTTGCCAGAAGAAACGTTTCTTTTAAAACTTGCACCTCCGTGTCCCAGCCCTGGCTTTCAGATAGGGTTGCTAGCTCTGGGTTGGGAAATAACACCTGGCGATTTGGGGGTGGAGCCTGGAGAGGGAGGGGAGAGGCCTTAGCAGGGTGTAACGCTGTTGGCTTCATCCTCCACAGCAGCCGTTTTCTCTCTCTCTCTTTTTTTAATATTTTTTATTAAGGTTTTCAAAATAAATCAACATTCAGCTATTACTTCACTCCAAAACAGACGAGCATACAGCCTCTTTACCTCCAAATATTATATACAAAGCAGCCGTTTTCTCCAGGGGGACAGATGTCATTCCAGGAGATCTCCAGGTCCCACCTGGAAGTTAGTAACCCTCCTGTCACCACAGGCAGAAATTTCATATCATTCCGTACACAAAATACTTTAAAAGACAGTTCAGAAAGTTAAGCTGCCAACTGCCAAGCGTAGAGGAATCATGGTAGGGGTATAATGCCATAGAACCCGCCCTTCCAAAATAGCCATTTTCTCCTGGGGAACTGATCTTGAGCATCTGGAGATCAATCGTGACAGGGGGAGATCTCCAGGTGTCACCTGGAGGCTGGCAACCAGTGTTCCCTCTAAGCTGAGTTAGTGTGAGCTAGCTCACAGTTTCTTAGCCTCCAGCTCACACATTTTTCTCTTCGCTCAGGAAGGAGGGCTCCAGAGGAAACTGATTTATGCAGTAGCCAAATGGCTCGCTCACAACTTTAATGCCTGTAGCTCACAAAGTAGAATTTTTGCTCACAAGACTCCACAGCTTAGAGAGAATATTGCTGGCAACCCTTACTTTCAGAGTACATTTGGGGGAATAAAGCCTGGCCACTCATATTTCTCCACACAGTTCATTGGACTGTTCCCCTGGAGAACTGGGAAAGGTCCCTTTCCACTTAGCATCCCCACTCCTTAACAGAACTCCCAAAATTGGATTACCCACGATTCTCACAGGCTGTGATTTGCTTTTCCCTCCCCAAAGCCAGCAGCATGTGGTTGGACAAATCAAAGCTGATGCAGATTTTTGGAGCCATGCTGTCCGTCGGGACCGTGGCATATGGAAGCTATTACTTCTACTCCAAGCCTCCCCCGTGAAGCGCCCAAGCCTGCCAACACGTCTCCCTTTCTGCGTGGTTAAGGTGAGTCGGGGTGGTGTTGATGCTGTTTTCGGAGAAGCGGTGATGAAAATCCAGCATCTGCTTGGTGCTTTGTTGAGGAAAGTGGATCAGGGGGACCAATGGGATGAATCATATCAGGAGGATCGGGGCACCTTTCTATTCTACTGTCTGCTTTTGTGAACTTTTTGTGGATGCGTATGGGATCCTGGGCATTCATGAAAGGGCAGGAGGGGATGGGGGGAAGTAACCAGCTGCTGAGGCTCCTTGAAAGCTTATTATATTCTGGAGGGGGACATTTGGGCTAATTTATTTAATACAGGTGCCTTGCTGTGCTATTTTTCTCCCTGAAGTGGCGTATTGAAAGTTCCAAATTACAAAACCATTCCAACAGATTAAAAGCAAACAAAGAAAATGCAAGCATATATAAGCTGGTCCTGGTCTACTGAGCTGCCTACCAGTTTGGTATAGTGGTTAAGAGTGCCGATTCTAATCTGGGGGAACTGGGTTTGATTCCCCACTCCTCTGCATGTAGCTGCTGGTGTGACCTTGGGTCAGTCACAAGTTCTCTGAAGGGCACTTCTTGAAAGAGCTCTCTCAGCCCCACCTACTTCACAGAGTCACTGTCGTGGGGAGGGGAAGGGAAAGGAGATTGTAAGCCGCTCTGAGACGCCTTTGGGCAGGGAAGGGTGGAGTATAAATCCAGTCTCTTCTCTTCTACCACAGGCCCCAGGCTGTGAGCCATGGGCCAAGAGCCCCTTAGAACATAAGGGAAGCCATGTTGGATCAGGCCAGTGGCCCATCCAGTCCAACGGTCTGTGCCACACAGTGGCCAAAACCCAACTGCCATCTGGAGGTCCACCAGCTGGGCCAGAATTCCAGAAGTCCTCCCACTGTTGCTCCCCCCAGCCACGAAGAACACAGAGCATCACTGCCCCAGACAGAGTGTTCCATCTATACCTTGTGGCTAATAGCCACTGAGGGGCCTCTGTTCCATATGTTTATCCAATCCCCTTTGAAGCTGTCTATACTGGTAGCCGCCACCACTTCCAATAGACGTGAATTCCATGTGTTAATTATTCCTTGGGTGAAGAAGTGCTTCCTTTGAACTGTTCTGAGCCTACTGCTCATTAATTTCTTTGAGTGCCCTGCCCATGAGTTCTTGGTTCACTCCCAAGGGCTCCTACCTCTGGGTGCACTCAGGCTAGGTACCTGCAAGGAGAGGAGAACAAACTCAGGCCAGATGGGGTGGAGGATATAATTTCCAATGATTTATTCCTCCAGTGATTCCTTGTAGACTTCCAATGCATTGGGGGGGGGTTCATTTAAGAGTCTGGGGGCATTCTGTATCTGGCCTTGCTGACAGAGAAGTTGGTCAATGTTGTTGGGAGGACTGCCTTTGAGACAACTCGGAAACTTTGACCAGTACGTGATGCAGATGTCCAGCTGCTGATGGGAGCGAGTGAATTTGGCCATATTACTGAGATCTTGAAGCATCCACACTGGCTGCCAATTTGTTTCCAAAATCAATTCAAAGTGCTGGTTTTAAGCATTAAAGTTCATAATGGCTTGAGAGCTACATGCCTCCTGGACTGCTTCTCACCATGTACTTAGGAAGGGACGAGCCAGTGCTTGGCTTCCATGGCCCTTTCTCATATGCCCAAGGGAATGCTGATCACCACTTTGGGGCCAGGAAGGAATTTTCTTCCAGGCCAGATTGGCCCAGAGATCCTGGAGGTTTTTTGCCTTCTTCTGGACATAGCTGTGAATTTCCTGCATTTTGCTGGGGGTTGGACTAGATGACCCTTGGGGGTACCTTCTAGCTTTATGTTTCTATGTTTCTCAGTCTGAGTCCTCAAGAACGTTGTGTTTGTCACAACAAGGGCTGCTTACAGTCCCAATGTGGAGGGAGGTCAGGACGGTTTCAGTTCCTATTAATGCTTTTCCAGTGGCAGTCCCAGTCCTTTGGAAGGGGCTGCTTCGAGAAGTGTGATCTCTATCCATTTTAAGCGGAAAAAATGCAAGCCAGACTTTCTAAAAGCATCTTTGGAAATCAGCCTCCGGTTGTGCTGTTTTAATGTAATGTCGCTTTCCATGTTTATGATGTTATCCATGTATCTGGGCACTGCTTTGAGCATATGAAAGAACAGCCGTCTGTTAGTATTTTAAATTAAAGCGGCACCGGCCCCCTAAGCAGAGTCATGCCTTCTAAGCCCATTGTCTTCAAGGGTGTAGCTGTTTAGGAGGGCACTGTAAACTAGTTAATAATAATGTATCATGTGCACATAATCAGTTCTCTCGGCATAGTTGCTAAGAAGTCTACTTATATCTAATGCTCTGTCTGCATTTCTTTTCCAGTACTTGTGCCCATCTGGATTTTCAGCCATCACCGAAAATAAAATTTTACAAAAATCCAAAAGGCACTCTCCTGCCCATAGTGTGCAACAGACCTAGGCCATTCCTGTTCTTGTATGGGCAGAAGCTCCCCCCCTCCCAAATCTGGGCTTGGCACAGGTTGTGTACATCTGTTGAACTCTGTGATCGGTGTTGGGACGCATCTCCAGCTTCTGCCTCCCCTCTGAAGGGGGAAAAGGATCCAAGAATCTTTGTCCGTTCCCAGCTTAGAATCAAAAGCATGTGCTTCTGAGGCGAAAGGGAGGACTCTCTGGCCACATCTATGCTGCAGCCGCAGGGGAGAAATGTTATCTCATTCTATGGTTTTGTTTAAGGCCTAGAGTCACAGCTGTGATTTGGTCAGTTGGTCACAGCAGGAAAATAAGTTCAGTTGGTTAAGGGAGAGGGGAGAAACGGAATATTAGGGAAAGCCCGTTGAAACAAGCAGAACTCTCTCAAATGCCCACTCCCCCCCCGTGACATCTAGAGCTGAGATCCCCAGCTTTGTGGAGAACCATGGGCTTTTTTGGCAGTTTGAGAAAGGTGCTGCCACAAAATGGCTGCTGTGGAGGACAGTTACAAGCAGTTGAAAGGTCCCAGCCTTTGAGGATACTGCTATTTCTGAATGAGTACTCCTTGCAGACCCAAAGTTGATTGGTCTTAGGCTCTTCTTTCTGACGCGCATCCTGTTTCGGTGAAGTAGAGGAAAGACAGGAGGACTGGCTTTTTGCTTTGGGGAGAAGCAAATGTAGTGAGAGCCAGTTTGGTGTAGTGAGAGCCAGTTTGGTGTAGTGGTTAAGTGCGCGGACTCTAATCTGGGATAACCGGGTTTGATTCCTCACGCCTCCACTTGCAGCTGCTGGATGACCTTGGGCAAGCCATAGTTCTAGCAAGAGGTGTTCTTGAAAAGAGCAGTTTCTGTCAGAGCTCTCTCAGCCCCACCTGCCTCACAGGGTGTCTGTTGTGGGGAGGGGAAGGGGAGAAAGTTTGTAAGCCGCTCTGAGACTCCGAGTGAAGGGCGGGGTATAAATCCAATCTCCTCTTCTTCTTCAAGTGGGTACCAGGAAATACACTAATGGGCGTTGTGGTGCCATGTTGAGGAGCAGTGATCTAATACCACACGTCACCATGCTGTGCCCTGACACGTACTTGCTCCACATCATCGTCTGCCCCTAGCAGGGCCAAATTGGTCGCATAGTTGAGCTGATACGCAGAAAAATTCCAAAGCAAAAGTCACACAAACCCCTTTTATTGGACCAGCAAGCAAACGTTTGAGCCCTGTAGGGCCAAGTTAGGCTAGAAGTTGTACGTGGGGATGACAAAGACTAGGCATCTTTCTTGTAGTTCTTAGTTTTTCTGGAAGAGTTGGATGGCCCAGGCTAGCCTGATCTCATGAGATCTCGGAAGGTCAGCAAGATTTGCCCTGGTTAGTACTTGGATGGGAGACCCCTAAGGAAGTCCAGGTTCCCTGTGCAGGGACAGGCAGTGCAACCACCTCTGTTCCTCTCTTGCCTTGAAAACCCTCTGGGGGATCACCATGAATTGGCTGTGACTTGACACCACTTTTACATACACACCATGAAGCACAAACTCTGGAAAGCTTGGCCGGGGAGCATGAAAACCAAACCAGCACTGCCACGGCTGGAGCTGTTCCCAATCAAGGCAACCCACTGCTTGGCACCCGTGGCCATTCTGGACATAGAGCATAGCAAGCGAAGGTTTCAGCAGCTTTTGACAGCTAGATGTGTGACACAGGGCCAAGCCAGGAGGGAAAGTGTCTTGAAGGCGGGTATTCTCCCCCTTCCTTGGCCAGGCTGTTCATTGTCATATCCTACTGCAGAAACAGACAAGCTTGACATTCCACACAGATAAGCGTAACAAAGTGCCAACAGCTGCTTTTTTTTTTTTTTAAAGTTTTATTTAAAGTTTAACATACATCTGTTCATTGTACAGTATTACATATATTTTCAGAGTCCACTCTTTTTATCCAACCATTTGTACAATCCTGCCCATCTATCTAAAAAATCTTCGTCATTTTTCCCTTGTAGATACATATTTAATTTATCTATTTCCGCTACTTCCAACAGTTTACTCAATACTTCATCTGATCTGGGTACACAATCTAGTTTCCAATATTTAGCCCAGAGTATTCTTGCTGCCGTTATTACATACGCAATTACATATTTCTCATTAAAAGAAAACTTATCTGGGATAACATTCAGTAGAAATATGTCTGGTACCATTTCCAATTTTACTTTCAAGATTTCCTCTATAAGTTTTTGTATGGTTTTCCAATAATTTTGAATTTTTTTACAACGCCACCACATGTGGTAGAAGGTGCCAACATTTAGTTTACATTTCCAGCAAACATTTGAGCAATTTGTATCATAGATGGTACTGGTCCCCAGAAAGGTTAGCCAAATGTTACCCAAATTGCCCAACAGCTGCTTTTTAATGAAAAGCAGAGGGTGCAGTTTCATGCGTGGGGCACCTGGGCAAAGCATCCTCTCCCTGCTGACTGTTTACTGCCCAAAAGGCCACTTCCAGTTGAGGCCCCATTCAGCTGAGTGAAATAATTTTAAGCCCAGGATGGGGAAAGCAGCAGGGGGGGATTTTGAGCGCAAAAAACCAACAAGGCAGGGAAGGGACGAACTGTGCCCTCATTCCCCTTAGTTCCAAACTGCAGCCTTCACGGCTGCTTTTCATTTAAAAACAACAGCTCAGTAGTAGCTCCCTTACAGCATTTTGTGTAATGTGTACTTTGCTGTAGCCTGAATGTAGCCTTAACAGCAGAAGGTAAAAGGTAAAGGTTTCCCTTGCTCGAAAGCCAGTCGAATCCGACTCTAGGGATGTGGTGCTCATCTCCGTTTCCAAGCCGAAGGAGCCAGCGCTGTCCAAAGACGTTTCCATGGTCATGTGGCTGGCATGACTAAATGCCGAGGCGCACGGAATGCTGTTACCTTCCCACCAAAGCGGTACCTATCTATCTCTTGCAATTTCTTGCTTTCGAACTGCTAGGTTGGCAGGAGCTGGGACCAGAGACGGGAGCTCACGCCATCTTGCGGTACTCAGGTCTCGAACTGCTGAACTACCGACCTTCCGGTCTGCAGTTCAGTGTCTTAACCACTCGAGCCTAGGCTGGCTGGAGACAAGAAGGGAAGCCGGGCAGACATGCCCTCCTTTCCCCCTGAGCCGCTCCGCTTTTGTGGAGAGACTTGGGGGGGGGGATTTAAATGCCTGGCTTCCCTGTGGGATCTTCTCGCTGCAGGGCACTCAGAGAAGATTGTGCAGGGAAGCCAGGCTCTGGTGATGTCATGGGGTGTGGCATATGCAAATAACTTAAGCTAATGAGTTATGCTAATGAGCTCCTGCACCTCTCTTTCTACAAAATGACTCCTGCCTGGAACAATCCCAAGGATTTGCTGTTTGCTCTACTGGAGAAACTCAACAGCAAGATGATTAATATGTGGAATTTGCTGCCAGAGAATGTAATGATTGCCACAGGAATAGACAGTTTTAAAACAGGATTAGATAAGAAGATCAAATCAGTCAATCTTAAAGGAAATCAACCCTGACTGTTCCCTGGAAGGCCAGATAATGAAACTGAAGCTCAAATACTTTGGCCACCCAATGAGAAGGGAGCACTCACTGGAGAAGACCCTGATGCTGGGAAAGATTGAAGGTCAAAGAAGACAGGGACGGCAAAGGATGAGATGGTTAGACAGTGCCATAGATGCAACGAACATGAAATTGAGCAAACTTCAGAGGACGGCGGAAGACCGGAAGGCCTGGTGGGAGCTGGTCCATGGGGTCGCGAAGAGTCGGACTTGACTGTGCGACTGAACAGCAACAAATCAGTGGCTACTAGCCACAGTGACTGAGGAGACCCTCCACACCCAGAGGCACTAATCATCTGAATCCCAGAGCCAGGAGGCAACATCAGGGGAAGGCCTCAGCCTCTGTGCCCTGTTGTTGGCCCTCCAGAGGAACTGGTTGGCCACTGTGTGAGACAGGATGCTCGATGAGATGGACCACTGGTCTGATCCAGTAGGGCTCTTCTTATGTTCTACTGCCAAGCCAGGTATCACGCCCCCCCCCCACTCTCTACCAATGTGTTTCTTTTTGTATAAATGGATTCGTCTGAGTTGAATTTTATTTTGTTAATCTCAGCTCGGCTTCTGAGTTACCAAGGTCATTTTGAATTGTATTTCTGTCTACTGTAATGTTGCTATCCCTCCCAATTTCGTGTCGCCTGCAGGATTCCTTTCGTCTGAGTCTCTGATAAAAATGATAAAGGACGGTTTTTCTTCTCCCATCATTACTAATGGTTGCTTCTTTTAAATATCTGTAATCTGTTCCAAGAAACCATCATCTAGGTTTGGTGGTCTGCAAGAGACCCTAATGAAAATATTGTTTTGATTTCTTTCCTCCATCCTTTTAACCCATATGTTTTCCATGGGGCTACCCAGATGTCCTCCCCTCTGGAATTTCTGCGTAAATGTACACATTTTTGACCCATGGTGTGAATCCTCCTCCCTTTCCGTTGCACCTTTTTGGAACAAGTGATACTCTTCCATAGCTCCATTCCAATTACAGGAGTCATCCCACCAAATCTCAGTAATGCCAGTTAAGTCCCATTTACCTTTCTGTACAAGACGTTCAAGCTCATCTTGTTTATTTGTCATACTCTGGGTGTTAATACTGTCCAGGCATCGAGAGCCTTGGGGATTATGCTCTCCAAAAGTGTGCTCTGAACACCCCCCTCCTTCTTTCTCTTGCTGTCTCCCTAACTGGTTAAGCTGACAAGAAGCACACCCCCACGTCCAAAGGACAGCCGACCAGTGTGTGTCAGCTGTACATTCCCTCTCTAGAGCGCCCTGTTCTCTGCCTCTTCTCATGCAGGCCAGGTTCCCGTGGTCCCAAGGCTCCCCGTTTTGTTGTCAGCAGCAGAACCAGCCAGAAAGGGAGGGCCTCCTTCGGCTTCCTGGCCTCACCTGCTGCCCTGCCCCTTGCCATTTCTGCCCAATGGCGTCGATGGCTTCCTTGGCAGTGATCTCCATGGCAGTGGTGCAGTGGTCACACAAGGAGTGCAGATCTGTGGGAACAGAAGAGACCCGGAAGGATGCAGCAGAAGCCGAGCGTTTCCCGCTGATGGGCTCTGGGGTGCTCTGGGCCACCTATCGCCACCGGTGGAACGATCCTCCGCTTGATGCAGGCCTTGATCATAAGCAGCAGAGATTTTTCACATCTCTGGGGACTGAAACTAGGACCTGCGTGCACAGCAGATGCTCTGCCACTGAGCCACGGCCCCTACCCATCAGATCACTAGTCCATCAAGGTCACTATGGGCTATTCAGACTGGCAGCGGCTCTCCAGGGGTCTCAGGCGGAAGTCTTTTACTTTACCCACTATCTGGATCCTTAACTAGAGATGTGGGGGGTGGAGCCTGGGACCTTCTGCATGCCAAGCAGATGCTGAGCCACTGCCCATCCTAGCTACAGCAGGAGCGCCTCCTTGAGAGCCTCTCTCCCCTTCCACAGCCCTTGTTCCCTGCCCCCACTGCACGGCCAGGGGGCTTCATATGCAACACCCACCTTGCAACAGCGGCCTCAGATCCAGCTGCCTGAGCTGCTGCACCTCCATGTTCTCTGCCAGGATTCCTTGCATGAAGAAGGGGAAAATCCAGGACTCACTTCAAGTCTGGGGTCAACAATGCGAGACTTTCCTTGCATGGGTCCCCCCAACATGGGCTCTGCTGGGGGGGGGGAGCATCTGGACCCTTTACTCTGTGCCTCCAGCTCCAACTTACACAAATACTGACCTGCCAGTTGGCATGCTGCGATCTGGATCTCTTCCCAGGGACAGTGCATATACTTGGGCACCTCTGCAGTCAGAACTTCCAGGAGCGCCGGGTCTGTCTGGGCCTGAGGGTGACCAAAGATAAGACTGTGTCCATCCCCCCCACCTCCGCGCAGGAAAGCGCTAGCCCCTGTGCTGCCATCTCCCACCCACATACAAGATGACGGCGGCACCTACATATATTTACGCAAATGCAACCTGCTGAGAATCGATTTTTTAAAGTTTTGGGTTTTGTTCGGAAAACAAGTTTCTAGAGCTCAGCGCTGCAGAGACGCGGGGTTGTGGTTCCAGCACCCTGTCCCCTCCTCCCCTAGCTTAGCAGGAGTAGAACAAAAAGGCAGAATTGTGCAAAGAAAGCAAACCTGATTTATTCAGCTTATATGACCTGGTTTGACCCTGGGCATAGAATGCACAGCTGTGCAAACAGAGGGAAGGTGAAGTCCATATGTGTGTCGTGTCTGTGTAAGTAGATAGATTACCCACCCCCCAGTTGCTTGCCAGCAGCAACCCAGACCTGTGTCGCCTGAGAAGGGCAGGAACCACATTCCCATCTTGACCACTCACTCACCAGCTGCTGGCAAACCCTGCCCATCAGTCGAGAGTGCTGTGTTCCAGACACGTCCATCAGCGATGCAGGATCCATGTCCAAAGTGAGCTCCCGGAGGCTCAGGAACGGGGCACACAAGACGAAGGCCGTGTAGCAGGCCTGCCAGGAGAGACGGGCAACAGCACAGCACAGTGGCCATCTGGCTGGGGCTGTGGGTTCCTCCGTACTCTTGGCATGAAGTGGAGCCCCTTTCCTCACCTGCAGAGTTTTGACCTCTGCCCCATTTACACAAACGGAACTTGTTTCATTGGGGGAGTTTAAAGTCTCAGGACTGATCTCAAATCACGAGAGCTACAAAGGATGCATTTAAGATGCCCTTTGGCACTAGTTTGTTTGGACTCTGCAGAGCTCACAGTCAAGAAGACCCAGGGACCGGACTCTCCCCTCTAGGAAACAGCCAAGCCTCCTATTTCAGGAATTGGACAGACAGAAGTCCTGCAGTTTGTGGCCCAATCCAGTTGCAGGAAACCCCACCGCCCTCACAGGTCTAGCCAGCTGTAGAGAGGAGCGGGCATCTTTTATGAGGAGCCCTTCTTGCTGGGAATGGGAAGTCAAGGGTTTGGTTGTCTCAGATCAAGAGAAGGGCCAAGTGGGATTTGCTCAGGCTGTCTTCAGGGTGCCTGGGGATTGCGCCAGCCTGGGATTTATTAGATTTATACCCCGCCCTCCCCACCAAGGCAGGCTCAGGGTGACTCAAAGGAATACAAGCGGCCCTGCCCCCCCCCCCAGGGTGTGCATTGCACCCCCATTACTTACCTTGCCCACAGCAGGGCTCGGATCCCGGAAGTGCAACAGGAGGGCAGCGGAAGCATCTCTCACCTCCTTGGCAAAGCCCCTGATGTGCTTTTCTTGAGCTATCTCAGCCAGGTGGCCAAACAGCTCAAAGGCTGCAGCCCGCAGGGCATCGTCTGCCTGAGAAAGAGAAGCTGCTGTTAGAGGGAACAAAGCAAGCAAGGAAGGGGCAGGTTCAATCCCCAGCAGCACCAATGAAAAGGATGAGGCAGGAAGTGATGTGGAAGACCCTGGAGAGTGGCTGCCAGTCTGAATAGACAATAGTGACCTTGATGGACTAGGGGTCTCATGGGTAGGGGCTGTGGCCCAGTGGAAGAGCACCTGCTTGGCGTGCAGAATGTCCCAGGTTCAATCCCCAGCAGCTGCTGCCAGTCTGAATAGACAATAGTGACCTTGATGGACTAGGGGTCTCATGGGTAGGGGCTGTGGCTCAGTGGAAGAGCACCTGCTTGGCGTGCAGAATGTCCCAGGTTCAATCCCCAGCA